AGGCCCCACATGAGACAGGGACAAGGACTCAGCAGCCCGAGGCCAGAGCCGGATGGCTGGACGGGGGTTCACCATCCCTGGGTCCTGGTGGTTCACTGGAAAATGGACGCCTCACAGTGAAACCAGTACGGCCAGTGGGAATACCCTGGTCACCCTCGTCGTCTGTACCAAATCCCTCTCCCAGCCAGGGGGGCTGAGCCCGTCCCTGCCCCTCTGCACGCAGGATGGCAACCTCGAAGCTGGTGCTGTCGCTGCTGGTTGCAGCTCTCCTGCTGCATGTGGCCACCATGCTGAAGATCGGCGCCTTCAACATCAAGACGTTTGGGGACAGCAAGATGTCCAACCAAACTATTGCAGATATCATCGTCTCTGTGAGTGCTGAGGGAGAGGAGCAGCCCTGGCTGCTCTCTGGTCTCTGGGATGCAGCCAGCTTGGGGCAGTTGGACACTAGCTTTCTGCAGGCTTCCGTCCATCCATGTGTCCATCCATGCATCCACCCACCCGTCAATCCACCTATCCACACACCCCCATCCATCCATCTGTCCCTCCATCCATCCATCTATGCCTCCATTCATACATGCCTCCATCCATCCATCCATCCATCTGTGACTCCATCCATCCACACCTCCATCCATCTGCCCACGCCTCCATCCACCCACCCATCTGCTCTTCCCCCATCACCATCTTCAACCTTGGGCCATCTCCACTCTTGCCGGTCCCCAGCCGAGGACGGGTGATGCTTGGTGCTGCCAAGGTTCCTCACGCAGAGCAGCCTGCAAGTGAGGAGCTGCTGGGACGGTGGGTGGTAGACAGACGGGTGTTAGAGGGCACTGTGTCACCCCAGGGTCCTTCCAAGCCAGAGGACACCAGCAGAGGAGCTCCCTCCCTGGCTCTTGGGTCCCTGCTGCCCCCCCGTTGCCAGCCTGGGAGCCTTCACAGCCCAGCCCAGGCACCCATGGGTGCCCCCACGAGCAGCTCCTTGCCAGGGGCAAGCAGCTCTGAGCTTGTCCCCCCAGATCCTGTCGGAATACGACATCATCTTGGTGCAGGAGGTCCGGGACTCCGACCTGAGCGCTGTGACAAAGCTCATGGACCAGCTCAACAGGTGACCCCCATGGCACAGGGCGGGGGGTGCCTGCAAATGGGCTGC